TCCTTCCTTGTGCATGTTGGCGTGCGTTTTTTGCTGCACAGAGGCGGGTGTGGGTATTGGTTGGAACAAGATAGTGGTCCTAGTCGGTGTTAGGACCTCGGAGCGCACGCACATCTAAAACACTGGAAACATGTCTTCCGTCTATCACAACAAAATCAATCTGGTTGGTGGTTTTTCGATCCGGAGACAGCCAGGTTGCTTGATGAATCTTCTTATGCTGGAATCTGGTACTAAAGATAACCATATTTCGGGCCCCGGCGAAGTCGATCAGCCTCAACCCATTTAATGATGTTTCCTCGTGGAGGCTGAATTTACCGACTGTAGTGCCAAATATAGATTCTTTGCCCACCCTGGCGTTAAAGTCGCCAAGCACGATTTTGACATCGTGGCGGAGGCAGCTCTCATAAGTCCGCTCCAAGCACTCATAAAAGCATATTTGGTCACATCGCCCTTCTCATCCGTTGAAACCGCTTTGATGCGATTTGTGGCTAGACGTTCATTCACCGGAGTGAATGATAGTACTCAGAGCGGAGTCTCTGTCCCACCACGACTCCCACWCCAACCTTTCTCTTCTTTATATGGCCACTGTAGTAAATGTCACAAGGACCTACTCGTCTCTATCCTTGTCCCGTCCATAGCATTTCTTGGACGACGGTGCTGTCAGCCTTTATTTTCATGAGGACATCAACCAGCTGGGCAGCGGCACCTTCCCAATTAAGGGACCGGACATTCCASGTGCATGGCCTCTATTCGTAGTCCTTATTTCGTTTGTCATGGTCGTCATCAAAAGGGGGGTCTCTTATCCGAGGCTGGTTGTTCCTTTTCCTTAGGTGGGTTTTTTTACATGGCGGTCTCAAAGCCTGCGCAAAACCCTATGTAGGGGATATTTTGACTTCTCACTTTAGCTCGCCAAACGGATGTTCTAAGGCTACCCAGAGGATACTTGGTCAAAGACCGGAAGTCGTGAGCTGCTTGAGTCATATGTAAAAGAATCGTTTCTGGTCACTCCCAAGAGAATGGCGGTAATTGCGCATGCTGTAACTCAAGCACAAAACGAAGGCCCCTTATTGGAACATGGAGCTTGGTCTTGCAGAAGCAAATTACGGAATGCTTCAACTGGCTAAAGCGAGGACTTTTGGAACGCATATAAAAATCTTTTAAGAGACTACAAGAAGTTGATGCGCAGAACAAAGCGAGAATCCTCGAAAAACTTTTGTGGTTGAAAATACCAACCAGGTGGCGGGACTTAGGAAACCTAAATCACCGTCTTTACTGAGAATAAAATAGAATGGGCAATGGGAATCATTCCAGCATTGCTACAGAATGTCTGTCTATCCATGACAAAAAACGTTTTTTACGGGATGCATGAAGTTCAGCCATGCGCAACAGTTATATGGAGGCTATGGTAGTTTCCATACCAAAGGCAGGAAACAACACAAATTAAAAATAGTTGGGGCATTAGGCTTTATTTCCTCCCTACTGAAACCGCAAGAAAAAATTTTGGACGCGCACATTTAATCTGCAGCGTTTCTAGAAACTTGTCTAAAGCGCAGCACGCATATAGAGATTGCACTTTATACACTGGTATTTAATTTCGATAATGCTCTTGAATATAAGCAATAAGCTTTTGGAGTAATCCTGGACATTTCTTGGCCGTTCAACAATGTATCTATGGAATCTATTCTGAATAGTATCCATTGATATTTGTTGACCCTGTTATGCAACGCTGGATCAGAAGCCTTTTGACCTCTGGACTGATTAGAGAAAAATGAAACGAGACTAAAACTACCAAGAAAGTCTGTAGTAGTACTCCCCGAAGTAGAGTGTCATTTCGGCTTCTATTAACATTTATATTCTTTACCGGCGTAGACACCGCTATCACGGTTATAGTCGAGTTAACAACAGCGCACCAATCCTTTTTACTTTTTACTATGTGACACCATTTGGAGATTCCAAGGTCCTTCTCCACTTGGTTTTTTCGAGGGAAGTGAAGGTCGTTCTCTTTTTCTGCTTCCACTGCTTCGAAAACTTTTAGAGCTGTARTATTTTCGTCCATTCGGACAACATTCGTAGCCGTTTCTTTTTAATTCGCTGAACTCACTGTTCCATTGAATGCCATATTCGCTGTGATCAATGCGCAAGGAACTATTAATTTTTCTCAAAACCTTTCTCTCAAAAATTAGTAACGTCCACTCATCAGATGTTGTCAGAGTTTGGCTCTTTTGACCTGTGATTTTGGCTGACAATATTTTTGGTGTTGATACCGGTTTCAAGATAGACGAAATTATCTACGACTTTGAGGTTATGACTGTCAAAAGTGACGTGGGAAACAAGTCGCGAGTGCGACAGGAGATATTTCGATTTGCCCTAGTTTGCAAACARCCCTATCTATTCTGGTGAAAGCAGAACTAACGACGTTACTCAGCAGCTGTACACTCTTACAGAAGATAGTACCTTCCCTATTTAGTTCTGCAGCTCGAAAAATTTTCTCTGAGAGCATATTGAAGAAATCACACGAAAGACAGTCGATGCTTTCGAACGACATCGCGGCACTTTTCGTGCTGTCAAAAGTAGCTTTAAAATCGACGAAAAGGTGGTGTACGTCGGTCTCAATAGAACCTTATATGCAATGTTGAGGAGTCATATTACACGATATTTTGCGCAGATTGTGGGATATCCATTTTCCTTATCTATTTTTCGCCGCTTTCTTTGAATAGCTCGGCCGGCAATTCATCGGCCCGGTGATATGTTGTTCTTCAAGCGGGTAATTGCTTTTCGAACTTTTTCGTGGCCGGGTAATGGAACGTCTGCTCCATCGTCATCGATTGAGGCACCGGGTTCGCCCTGGCCTGACGTTATAATTTCACTGCTACTAAGCAGGTTGGAGATGAGTTTCCTTTAGTATGCACTGGGCATTAGTACAAGATCCCCTCCGGAGATTCTATAAGAGTTTGCTCCGGTCGTGAACCTGCGACCCTCTCGGCTAGCTGGTCAAGCTCTTCGTACTCACGCATTTCGGTCTTTCGCTTCAATTATCTGTATCTATTCCATCACGCACGTGTGTGGTGGATTGTAACGTTACGAGGAAAGCAATCTTTTTTCTCTCCATTGCGACACGATACTTCTCACCGTACCAGCTTTCCTTTTACATTTTCCAGAAACCAATTGTTTTGGTAACCATACGCAATGTGCTTGAAATTCCGTCCCATAGTACTCCAATACCGAGTGTTTGACGAGTCCTCTGAGAGAGCACGCGCGCAAGTTGAGTCGAAAATCGTTCGGATGTCTATGTGATTGCAACTTCTCGACGTCAAACCTTAGTTGTGTTTGTTGACATGCATTTTTTGCTGTGCGTATCTTGGCTGCAACAAGATAGTGCYCCGAGTCAAGGTTAGGATCTCGGAGCATGTGCACCTCGTGTCTTCCRTCTATCACAACATGATTGTTCTGTTTGGTTTCTTTTCGGTCTAGAAACATCCAGGTAGCTTGCTGAATTTTTCTATGCTCGAATCTAGTGCAACAGATAACCATATTTCGGGCTCCGGCGAATTTAATCAGCCTCAACACATTTGGGGATGTTTCCTCGTGGAGGCTGAATTTACTGACAGTAGTGCCAAACCTACAATCTTTGTCCACCTTGGCGTTAAAGTTGCCAATTACGATTTTGTCATCGGGGCGGTGGCGGCTCCCTTATACAGCAGTATTTTTTATGCTTTATCATTGGTAGTGTTTTTTACGTGGCGGGTCTCAAACCCAGCAGACGATCCTGTGGAGGGTATGCTTCGCTATCGCACTTTTGCTCGCCTTACTTAGTCTAGGACCGGAAGTCGTGAGCTGCTTGAGTCATATATATTATGCTTGAGGGATGAATCTGGAAAAGAGGGATCTGCCTTTGTTCACAAGAAAGCACGAAATTCCTCTATGGAAGTTCCCTCCTATAAGTGGGACACAACTCTCTCTTAAGAACTGGACTACGTACCTTGGGGTAGTCTTGGACAGCAAACTGCTATGATTGACAATGCCAAACACTTAATTGATTTAGTTGTATAACAGCTACATATATATAGCATATATTATCCGATCTGAATCATTTCTTCTGAGATTCCAAAAATTTCTGCCAAATTTCTTGAAAATATCTCGTGAAATGACAACGATTTCCATAGCCGCACTTTATTATGATCGTTCAGTTTTTATGGCAGGGATAAGTTATAGTGGTACCATACCGGCATTTCCACAAATAAAGCAGTATATTTGGGGAGAACAAGTCGGGTGCAAAATTTCAGATACTATCTCAAAAACTAATAGACTAGTACGATTATATAGAAAATATACACTGATCATAACATACATATATTAGAGAGTCTCTGATGTGTTCTTTTGAATGTTACAAACATTGTAGCAAACTTAATATCCCCTATTGAGTGTATACTGACTAGAAGTTACTCGACACATACATTCATTTCAACAAGCGAACTCTGATTTCTGTACTGATTCACATGAGCACCTGGTTTGTTTTACTTAACGTTAAGTATAATTTTTCAAAGAAAACTTTTAATCTCTTTGCGTCTTGCTTCGATTCGTTGGTTTCCAAAATGTTATTATATGTAGTTTGGACTTCATAACCCATTGTTCTTGTAAGGTATCATTAAATATGTTTATAACGGTTACGCTGCATCACCAAGCAAACCAAGCTAGAAAGTCATACTGCATAAAAACTTTGCATCCAGAAGTGTAAGAAGTCAGCTTTTCCCAACCCTTAAAAATACATACATATGTTGAATACAAGAATATTATTTTTCGACTATTTTATAAAAAATAAGAGTCTGATGGTAGCTAGAGGGTTAAGCCATACATATCTATTTTTTGCTCTTATAATTGTTTTGAATCTACGGCGTTTTCCGAATATATTGCCTGCTTTTCAATGAAGTTCTTTACCAAAAATTACTTAAATTAATTGGATGACCTTTATTAAATAGTATATATATACCAGTAGACATTTGTTAAATATTTGAAAATGTTATACATTTTTATATACATATATGCAATTTTTTATCAAGAACACAAGCAACTGTCATGTAAATTCGATTTTATCCACGGAATAAATTTACTAACTCTGGTGTAAACACCTGGATATCCGTCTCTACCGCAGCCAACGCCCCAAGAAACTACACCAACAATAAAATACTTTATTCCATTTGAAAGTAAAAGGGGGCCACCGCTGTCTCCCTGACATGAATCCATATTAGGCCTTCCAGCACAAATCATACTGGATGTAATTCTAGTACTTTTATACTTTTGGTTTCGACATTCTGTAATCGACATTATGGGTACTTTCACCTGGTTAACGATTGCTGGCAATTCACCACCTTCATTAGTACGCCCCCATCCAACCACAGTGCCAATTCGCCCTAGGATATAAGAAAAATAATTTAGAAGTTATTGGAAAATATATGTATGGATATACATTAGGGTAATTCAAAAAAAAAATATTTTTTTTTCGTTTGGTATTTTGAAAAATAGGTTCCTAGACACCACTAGGGTAGCCTCTCCAAGAATGAGTTTTTAATTGTAACGGGAAGGTCCTCCTACTTAAAGTTTTCTTTTTTTTATTATCAGATAGAAAAATTTATATCTCGCTTCCGGCTACTTGAAAAAATATTTTGTTCCTTAAATTTTGTAGAAAATTGAATGCTCTACAAAAAAAGTYTTTGCGATTTTTTCGTAAACCCAACCGTTTAAAAGATATTAACGGTTAAAATTTGATAATTTTTGGGATTTTTTTTTATTTTTTATGAATTTGATAATTGAATGAAAAAAAATCTTTATGAATAATAAAACTCATAGTTTTATAGAAAATTTACTGCTCTAGAAAAACGGTCTCWTATGATTTTTCGATTAAGCTAAGCGTTTACGAGATATTACTTGTCAAATATCAATGCACATTAGGGTGAATCAAAAAAAAAAATTTTTTTTCGTTTGATACTCTGAAAAATAGGTTCCTAGGCACCTCTCAGAAAGCCTCTCCAAAAACCTATGAGTTTCATCATTCATAATAATTTAGTTCAATGAGTTATAAAATTCATAAGAAATAAAAAATTTTCCCAAAAATAATCAAATTTTATCTGTTAATATCTTTTAAACGGTTGGGTTTACGAAAAAATCGCACAGACCTTTTTTGTAGAGCATTCAATTTCCTACAAAATTTAAGGAACAAAATATTTTTTCAAGTAGCCGGAAGCGAGATAAAAATTTTTCTATCTGATAATAATAAAAAATAGAAAACTGTAAGTAGGAGGACCATCCCGTTACAATTAAAAACTCATTCTTGGAGAGACTACCCTAGAGGTGTCTAGGAACCTATTTTTCAGAGTACCAAACGAAAAAGAACAAATTCTTTTTTAATCATCCTAATATACATACATATAAGTATATATAATATTATTTTCGTATTCAGAACTACGTCTACTTATAATATAATATTAAAAAGAACATTGATCTTTTGAAAATATGATGTATTTTAATTATTTTATGTTCTATTTAAAACTAATACTATAAATTGTCGGCTATTATGCACTATGAATACATAAAATAAAGCGTTGCAAATTAAGTTTGATACAATTGGATATGTATATTCAGAAAGGCAAAATAACAAATTACTTCATAATTTAAAGTTAAATTATTTTTGAATGGCAAAAGATATGTATAAGCACGTATGTAGCAGAAAGAGCACGAAGTTAATACCTGCTGTCATTACTTTGAGAATGCATTGCGAAATAGTTGTTCAGGTCATATCTATTAATTGCTATTGAAGATTAATCATAAAATTATTTCTGTTTATTAATTTTACTCCATTGTTTCTACTATTGCGATTAAAAATAATACAGGAATTAAAGCAAGCCATATTTAGTATATCGTAAAAAGTGGCCATTAGTCATCTGAGACTTTTTCCGTTCATATTGCTTCAAACTTATTCAAATGAATGGAAACTAATCATCTCAGGTGTATAAGACTGAATAATCTACAGCTTTTGTGGGTTTACACAAAGAAGAAGCACAATTTTAATTTTTTTAACTTCGAAGGAAACCCTTCGCAGATCAAAGCAGAAAAGAGTACTACCAAAAAGTACTTGTGATGAGCATTTAACTTGGTTTTGCGCGTTTATTTTAACTTAACGTTCCAACCAAAGTTAAATTGTCTTCATTAACAGCTCATCTGCTAATCTTACTAAACGAAACAAGTTATCGAGTCAAATATATCCAAGGTACTGAGATAATTATATTTTGAGCTGCTCCAAAATTAACAATCTGTTAAGTGCTTCTTCTATATATGTAGTTTGTAGATTTGATATTATTTCTACATTTGTGTAAATTAAAAATAATAAATCCAAAATATCATTAGCAAAGAGATCTTTTAGCGTATAAGTTATTTGTTCGCGAAAAATTTATAACTCAAACTTTATTACTTATTATTTATTACTCAAACTTTTGGAACTGAAAACTTAAACCAAATCTAGCCCTACACGAAAGCGCAGATTAGCAGCATTACTTTTACACTATAAGTGCGTGTGGCCTGATTATTGCTTTAATAGAATCAGCGTCAGCGCAAAGGTAAACGCCCGTAGACTGAGATTCCAACGTCATCCAGAGCCGATAATTAGATAGATTAGATAGATTAGATGGAACGCCTACTTCATAATTACTGGAAAGATTTTTCTCTTTTTTTCGTGATAATCACGGTGTATTTCTAAAACTGAACCAAGAGGCTCCCTCTACAAGACTTCTGCAGTTGTTCCATGTGACTCATGCGTTCAATTTGTTCAACAAGATGGGGCCGTTGGCAATCTGTTTATTCCGTGGGTTCCACTGTAACTAATTTGAATGTACACTTTCAATTTTTGAAATTGTGTTTTAATTGAATATTGTTACCAGCACAATAGTTTTACAAACGTTTTGAATTTGATATATTTTTTCTTTAAACCGAAATATTTTTTTTGTCAACAGTACATAATTTACCTTACGTATAATTTACGATTAACCTTGCCTAACTAAATTCATATACACTCAAAGTATGGTCAACATAATCGGCCAAATGAGCGTACTATCCGCAATACCATTACCCATCTAGAGACCTACCATTCATTATTGGATAATATTCGACCGAATCACGTTCAGCATGCAGTGAAAAAAAAAAAACAAGTAAGGAAGGGCTAAGTTCGGGTGTCACCGAACATTTTATACTCTCGCATGATAAAGGGATAATCGAGATTTCAGGCGTGGTTTTGAACCGATTTCACCCATATTTGGTACATGTCATTAGGGTGTTAAGAAAATATTATATACCGAATTTCATTGAAATCGGTTGAGTATTTCCTGAGATATGGTTTTTGGTCCATAAGTGGGCGACGCCACGCCCATTTTAAATTTTTAAAAAAAGGCTGGATGCAACTTCCTTCTGCCATTTCGTCCGTGCAACTTAGTTTTTCTGACGTGTTTTGTTGGTCGGTTAACGCACTTTTAGTGATTTTCAACATAACCTTTGTATGGAAGGTGGGCGTGGTTATTATCCGATTTCTTCCATTTTTGAACTGTATATGGAAATGTCTTAAAAAAAACGACTCCATATAGTTTGGTTGACATAGCTATAGTAGTTTTCGAGATAGTTGCAAAAAAGTTAGTAGGGGTCGGGGCCACACCCACTTTTCTAAAAAAATTACGTCCGAATATGGCCCTCCCTAATGCGATCCTCTGTGACAAATTTCACTTTAATATCTTTATTTATGGCTTAGTTATGACACTTTATAGGCTTTCGGTTTTCGCCATTTTGTGGGCGTGTTAGTAGGCCGATTTTACCCATCTTCGAACTTAAGCTTCTTATGGAGCCAAGAAATACGTGTACCAAGTTTCATCATGATATGTCAATTTTTACTCAAGTTACAGCTTGCACGGACAGACGGACAGACGCACGGACGGACAGACACTCGTCACCCTAATCACTTTGGTATATATAACCCTATATCTGACTCTTTTAGTTTTAGGACTTACAAACAACCGTTATGTGAACAAAACTATAATACTCTCTTTAGCAACTTTGTTGCGAGAGTATAAAAATAGCAGCCGTAGCTGAGGCTGTACACGAACATCGTGGAGAGTCGATTTGGCGTCATTCGCAGCAATTCGGACTAACGTATGCAACGGCTTGTCGATTTTAAATCAATAGCATACAAAATATAGCTTGTGCAAGAATTGAAGCCGCTCAACCTTCCCAAACTACATCGCTTTGCTCTTGAAAACCTCCAAGAAGATATGACGTTTTCGAGTAAAATTTTGTTCAGCAATGAACACCATTTTTAGCTCAATGGGTATGTAAACAAGCAAAATTGCCGCATTTGGTATGAAAAACATCCCGAAGAGATTCACGATGTTTGCTTGGAAGCAAAATATTATGCGAGTCATTCGCAAATTACCAGTCGAAATGTGCCAACGAGTCATCGAAAACTAGAGTCAATGGATGAAATATCTGAGACGTATCCGCAGCCAACATTTGAAAGAGATAATCTTCAAAAAATAAATACCAAAGCGTGCTTTTTTCGAACGATAATAAGCATTYCCCATTAAATTTGAAGCTTCTGTGTTTTTTATAAATAAGTAGGGAACCTCAAAATGAGTAACCCTTTATATATTTTTTATTCTTCTTAAACTGCTTTTGTGAATCATTTTGTTTGATTCAGTTAAGACTATAGTGCTTTACAAATGTCTCAAGTTATCTTTTTGGTTTCTGTGTAAATTTGTCAATAGTATCTTGTAGACTTTTATGGTATTGTTCGAAATTTGTTCTGATATTTCTACCACAGAAAACGTAGYTTTTCTTGTCACTGAATGAACTCATAATTATATTCATAAATAGAATTCATGAAGGGTTAATTAAATGTTCGATATTCGCTTTTCAATTCAAGCACCTCATAAACCTGAACTGAACTTTTATAGGGTGATGCTAACGGGATTTTCAGTAGGGACGCTACAAAAGTAGACCAATTGGGATAGCAAGCGACGCCATATTTTTCCCGCTGTTTTGAATGTTTTGCAATTTTATAGTGAAAAGAGTCAGTGGCCTCAACCTGAAGAGCGCTACGTCCAATTTATAACGTCGTTCTCAAGCATTGGGCATCTCTGTGACGTCATTGTGGCGAATTTTGAGAAAGAATCCTGTTCTACAARCTTACAAGGCCAAATTGACGCATGAAGTGTAGACGCTTGACTACGTCGTGTGTTGCTGATTTGGGCTGAGCAACAGCTTGAAAATGATTCGGATTGTCATCGAAAAATCATCTTTAGAGATGAGGTTCATTTCTGGCTGAATGGTTTCCTCAAAAATCAAAATGAGCGTTATTAGACAGCAGAAATCCCCACGTACTCCAT